CGTTTTGCTCGGGCTGACTACAGTGGCGCCGGATGGAGCAATGGCACCGGAACATGCGGGCGACATAGACCCGTGGCGCACGGAGAAACATTTCTATCTGTGTTGTCAATTTTTTTCGTTTTTTTTCTGACTCTCCGTGTTGGTTTTGTGTGATGACATCGTCACCGGTTTTGTANCGACAGAATCAAGATCAGAAATCGAAATCAAAAATCAGTTTAAGTCCTGAAGAGTCGCCCAAATTCGCCCGCGGTGTCTTATCGAGAAACCACCAAAATCAAAATCGAAATTGAGAAACACGGTGAAGCGCCCACTTCAAGCGGCGAACAGCCCGCCAGTTCCGTGACACGACGTCCGCAGCGTCGCGCCGCATCCCAAAAGAATGGCTCGCGCTCCTACGCTTGTTGCGGCGGCGGCGGCGGCAGGTACTGGGACGATGGCGGTGGCGGTGGCGATGCAGGCCAGACACCACGGGCCATCGGCGCCGCGTGAAACCCAACTATATTGTTGGGCAGTTGCGCTGGGGTGTTCGGCCCCAAGTTGTACCGCCCGTCACCGTTTGCCCCAGGCTGTGACATCGTCTCCTCTGCTTACTGCCGCTCGCGCGTGAGTGGTGGGTGTCCTCCACATGCCAAGATGCCAAGGCGTGGTCCTCGATGTGTCAAATCGGCACAAAAACCCGGCCCCTACACACCCAATAGCCCGCCACGTGCGCTGTTCGCAAAAGTCGACATCGATTTTAATGTTTTTGCATTTATTTGAGTTCGAGTTTAAGCATAGGAAGATTCCGTGCGGTCTCCATCCAAATGCTTCCGACGGACAGGTTAAAAGTTATTCCATCCAATCACAGCAGATATTCGTTGGCTCTTCCAGGACTTAAACTGATTTTTGATTTCGATTTCTGATCTTGATTCTGTCGATAAGACACATCCTTAGCAGGCTGCGAGGCTACCCACTAGACCACCGGGGCGGTGTTTTTGTACAGACAGCACTTCAGACAGCAGTATGCTGTAGTCGGCAATCTTCCGTTTTAGTATAGAGTGGGACAGGGAGGGGGTGATGCTACTGTAGTCGAACGGTGGGACGGACGTGC